GTCCCCATGGTACCAGGTTGGCCAGTGGCTCCCGTAGAACCTGTTCCTCCTGTTGCACCAATCCCAATAGGTCCTTGTGGACCTGGTGAACCAATTTGTCCTGGCTGCCCTGCATTTCCAGGTTGACCAGGAGCACCCAAGGTACCTGCGGGACCAACATTACCTTTCTGCCCCGTCGGACCAGTAATTCCTGTATCACCAGCTTGACCTTGAGGCCCTATTTCATATCAAAATGTATTGTAATCATTGCGACAATTTCAAAATTTTCATTTTAAAATTATTAATATAATTCGTTTGAAAAAAATTGTAAAACCTGGCTGTCCTTTTTGACCGGATGGTCCAGGTGGTCCTTGCTGTCCATTTGGACCAGAGGCACCTGGATCACCCTTTAATCCAACTGGTCCAGGTAATCCGATTTGACCTGGTGTTCCTTTAGTTCCTTGTATACCAGTGTCACCGGTGGATCCAGTTGCCCCTCTATCTCCAGGCTGACCATTTGGACCAGGTAATCCAGCTGCCCCAGGAAAACCCTGTGGTCCTCTATTACCAGCTGCGCCTTGTTGACCAGGCTGTCCTGTAGCTCCTTGTGGACCTTGCGGGCCATTTTCACCTGGTAATCCAGTATCACCAAACAAACCTGTATCACCTTGAGCCCCGGTGTTTCCAACTAAACCGATCGCTCCTTGTTGCCCTGGGGAACCAAGGGCACCTTTTGGACCTTGAGGTCCTTGAGCTCCAGGCTGACCATTGTCACCAGGTTGACCTGGTTGGCCTTTATTTCCTTGATTACCCTTGTTTCCTGCAGGTCCGGTATTTCCTGTTGGACCAGTTGCACCTTGCAAGCCAACAACACCAGATTGGCCAATATCACCAGGTTGTCCAGGTTGTCCTGCCTGACCAGGTGTTCCGTTATCACCTGGAAGTCCAGGAGATCCTTGAAAACCCGTAGCACCTGGCAGTCCCCTATCTCCTTGAGAACCTTGTGGACCAGGAGCACCTTGGGCACCTGATAAATTTGCATCATTTTTCTATTCGAATCATTTTGACACTAAAAGCCTGAACAATAAAATATATAAGTTGAACGAATTTCTTGATCTTTTTATTTTGAAATTTTATGCAATTGCAATTATTGAAAGCCGGTTATCTGATCGTAATATGAGTATGGTGCTATGAATGGTTATTATTACTTTGAAAAGAGTCGTGTGAATGGACATATTTATATATTTAGGAAGCATATATATGCTAGTAATGATTATGATAGTTTTTAAACATAACAACTAATAAGGAAATAAAATCCACCAAACTTGAAAATAACAAACAACCATTACCTGGCCGCCCATCTTGCCCAGGAGCGCCTACATTTCCAGAAGGTCCTTTCTCCCCAGCTGGTCCAGGTTGACCAACTGCTCCATTTGGACCGTTAGGTCCAGGAGCTCCTTGCTGTCCTTTATCTCCTTGCAAACCGGGAGATCCAGTGAGACCTCTGTCACCCTGAAGTCCCCTATCTCCGGGAGAACCTCTGATACCTGGGGAACCGATAGGTCCCGATGGTCCATTAACACCGGGTGCACCAACTGCGCCAGGATTGCCAGTGTCACCAACAGCCCCTGAAACACAAATTTTTCAAATACAAATTAGAATTCTTTAAAACGCTAAACATAACATCAATCTAACCTGGAACCCCCAAAGACCCTTGAGAACCAGGTAATCCTGTAGCTCCTGTGTAACCAACATTGCCGATAGGTCCTTGTAATCCTGGTTGGCCTAACTGCCCAGGAGATCCAGTAGCACCTTGGGGACCGGTTAAACCTGCTGGTCCTTGATCTCCGGCTTGCCCTTGAGGACCTGTTGCTCCTTTGTAATCAAACAAATATTAAATGAACGCTTTTTTAAAATAGTGAAAAATATTACATTGCAAACAGCTCTAAATAAATAACAATAAAAAATGTTAAACCTTGAGGTCCAGACAACCCTCGATCTCCTTGATTTCCTGGATTTCCAGCATTACCTCTATCTCCAGCAGGGCCCACAGGACCTGGCAAACCATTTGATCCTGGTAATCCTGGTAATCCAGGAAATCCCTTTTCACCGGTTGTTCCGATAAGCCCTGAAAACCCAGTTGAGCCAGTAAAGCCGGGTTGACCAACATTTCCTGGTTGTCCTGTTTGTCCTTGTTGCCCTGGTAAGCCAGAAGCGCCAGTAGCTCCAGGTGCCCCTTAATGTTTATCAATCATGTTTATTTTGGATGTAAGCAACATTACATTTCATGATTTTATTTTATAAATTCATAAGTTTGAAAAAGTTTATTCCGCATCACAGTCTGCAAAACATAACAAATTTAATAAAAATTCTGGCTGTCAAGATCTTATAATACAGTTGACTGTAAATGATTAAAATGTTTAGGACAAATTTCTATGAAAAACGATTTAAATATAAAACTATCAATAATTAGCTCACCATCTGCACCAGCTTGGCCAGGGGATCCAGAATTTCCAGGAGCACCAGGGCTTCCGGTATCGCCAGGTTGACCTTGCGGACCTGATTGGCCTGGAGAACCTAAGCCACCAGGGTTTCCTGTATTGCCAGTTGCTCCTTGAACACCTTGATCGCCTTTTTGTCCTTGAGTTCCAGGTTGTCCTTGAGATCCAGGCAAACCTGTGTCGCCAGTATTACCTTGAATACCTTGTGTTCCAGGCTGCCCCCGATCTCCAGGCAACCCAGTTAATCCTGGCAACCCGATAGAACCAGTTCCACCTTGAGATCCAGGAATGCCAGCTTGGCCAGGAAACCCAGTGGCTCCAACCGGACCTGGTTGACCAGACTGACCGATTACACCTTTATCTCCTTGAGATCCTGGTTGCCCTGGAGTTCCTTGAGCCCCTGGGAAACCTATCGCGCCTGGTGATCCTTGTTGTCCAGGATTTCCTGTATCACCCTGAGCTCCATTTGATCCAGGAGAACCTTGCAAACCTCTATCACCTTGTAAACCTTGGCTGCCTGGATCACCAGGAAATCCAAAAGGACCAGGTTGACCAGTAGCACCTTTTGAGCCTGCTGATCCAGGGGCACCATTAGACCCTGGTTGACCCAGTGCCCCAGGAGCTCCTTGATCTCCTTGTGGTCCAGTAGGTCCTTGACGGCCAGACGTTCCGGTATCACCAGTAAATCCCGTAAATCCAGTCCCTCCTGCTGATCCAATAATTCCTGACTGACCAGGCAAACCAGTATAGCCCGTTGGACCAGGAAGTCCTATAGTTTGTGAAAAAAATAAACAACTTATCTAATCATTTAAAAAACCGTGAAAAATTAAATAACTAAAAAAACTTTCGGTCTTAATTTTTGAGATTCTATATTTTGTCATCCAATCATTATTAATCTAATATTATAAAGATAGATTATTTTTTTGCCAACCAAATTATTAAAAGTTAAGAGGGTTTGGTTTAATCATTTGTTATACTGGACAGGAGTGAACATCTATCGACTTCATTTATACAAACACACATAAATAAATAAATACACAAAATATAAATACAAATAATGGATTAAGACCATCTAATAAACATTTGTTTTAAAATATCATAGCATTGCAGGCACTGTTCAATTTGCAATGAGTTTTTCAATTTTTCGTATGACAAATTTCAGCTCATTATCAAATGTGTTAATTATGTTGTTTATTATATATATATATATATATATATATATATATATATATATATATATATATATATATAATAAATTTAAAAACAATATATTTATACCAATCTCTCCAGTTTGTCCAGGAAAACCTGTAGCACCAACATCACCAGGATTTCCAACTAAACCATTGTCTCCTGTTGAACCTGTAGCACCGGGTACTCCTGGCTGACCCGCATTTCCAGAAGGCCCGACAATACCTTTATCTCCTTGAGCACCGGGATTACCCGGTTGTCCATTGGCTCCATTAACTCCTCTGTCACCTGGTTGTCCTGGCTGTCCTTTAGCTCCTGGCTGACCTGTAGGCCCGATTGGACCAGATGGACCAAGTGGTCCTGGAGACCCCAAAGGACCTTGCTGACCAAGCTGACCTTTAGTTCCAGTAGCACCTTGAACACCTGGCAAACCAGTTTGACCTTTATTGCCAGTTGGACCTTGAGCACCAGGCAAACCTGTCGAACCAGTTGGACCCTTAGAGCCTTGAGGACCTTGAGGACCTTGTAAACCTTGTGGGCCTTGAGCACCTTGTTGACCTCTAACACCCTGATCACCAGAGAGTCCTGGCAAACCTTGATTTCCTTATAAATAAAATTTGTTAAATAGTAATAACGTTGAAAAGCTATTGATTATTATGTAGAAAGCGATGTCCATTAAAAAACAAAAAAAATATTTTGAACTAGTAACTTTACTGGTATCAACATTTTTATATTTCATTTATACACATTTACCTTGAGGTCCAGGTTGACCAGGTTGACCAGAATTTCCTGGCTGTCCTTTTTCTCCTTGAGAACCAGTAGAGCCCTGAGGTCCAGCAAATCCAGTAGCTCCCATTACTCCAGGAATTCCTTGAAAACCTTGATCTCCCTGTTGACCAGGATTTCCAATAAGACCAATTGGACCAGGAGCTCCCACAGAGCCTGTTAAATAAGTTTAAAAATTATTTTAAAAATTAATTATAGAAATAAGAAATAAACAGAAATTTTGTTCACCTTTAGGCCCAGGAATTCCAGAAGAACCAGTAGCACCAGTAGCACCGACAGAACCAGCGGGACCAGGCAAACCATCTTCCCCGCGTTCACCAGAAATTCCTGCGGGTCCTTTAGGTCCCTTTGGTCCAGTCGAACCAGTAGATCCTTGAGGCCCTTGAAAACCGGTACCGCCTTGAGGCCCTTGGGCACCTGGTTGTCCAGCTAAACCTAAATGTAGAAAATTCCGTTATTAGTTACAATAAAAAGTTATCAGCTTCAAATCAACTCAAGTAAACGTTTCTAAATAACCTGGCAAGCCAAGCTGACCAATTCGACCAGGTGAACCAGGTGAACCAGTGTCTCCGGGAAAACCTTTTGATCCAGATGGACCAGCAAGACCAGGTAAACCTACAGATCCTTGATTTCCAGTTGGCCCTGGTGAACCTTTATCCCCTTGAGGTCCTTGTTGCCCAACTGGCCCCGACTGTCCGGCTGGACCTCTATCTCCTTGTGGACCCTGTGGACCTTGTAATCCTGGAGGACCCGGATTTCCTGATAAACCTTGTGGTCCTAATTGACCAATGGCACCAGGATTTCCCAGAGGGCCTTGCTGGCCTGGAGTTCCTGCTGGTCCAGGTGCACCAATAGATCCGGGTAAACCTTTATTACCAGGTTGACCAGGAAAACCTGTGTCACCCTGAACACCAGTTGGTCCTTTTTGACCTTGCGGACCAGAAGAACCGGTCGATCCAGGCAAACCTTGCAATCCAGAAAATCCCGGTGATCCTTTTAAACCGGCGGGTCCGGGACTACCAGATTGACCTGTAAACAATCATATAATTAAAACGTAAATAAATCTAAACTGTCATTTTAAATAAAGGTAATAATTATTGTCAATAGCCATCAGTCAATATTACCTTGAGGTCCAGGTTGACCAAGTGGACCTTTTTGTCCAGAAGGTCCTTGTGGACCAGGAGCACCTTTCTGACCACTTGGTCCTTGAGGACCAGCCAAGCCAGGCTGTCCAATTTGTCCTGGAGAACCTTGGTTTCCTGGTTGTCCTGGAGTCCCTGATGTACCAGTAGGACCAGGACTACCTCTGGGTCCTTGTAAACCTGGTTGACCCGCTAAACCGGAAGCCCCTGTAGATCCTTGTTGACCTCTGTCTCCTTGTGCTCCTTGTACACCCTGTGGACCAGGCAATCCTGATGGCCCTTGAGAACCTGGTTGGCCGATATCTCCAGGTAGTCCAGGTGCTCCAGGATTACCTTTTGGACCCTGGTTACCTTGAAGTCCAGCGTTTCCTGGTTGGCCAGGACTACCAGCTGAACCACTTGCGCCTGTTGAACCTTGCATTCCTAACAAATAAAAAAAGTAATAATTTGTTAAATAAATTTTTAAAATAACCAATAAAAATTCATTAAAATTAATAAATTTTAGCTATTTTTATATCTATGGATTGACTATTTATAAAATATTTTATAAAGTTAATTTAATTTTGTATTATATTTTAATAGCAGTAAATCCATTGATTTTTGAACTTCGTTACAATTTTTTTTTTATAAATATAAAATAAATATTTTATATTTTTTTTTATATATACAAACCACGCTCGCACTCCCACACGCACACGCAGACACACACAAAGATAGATATATATATATTCTATATATGTATTATATTTATTCATAAATATATTAACTTATTCTATTTGGTCCAAAAATTCGTACTGGTGTTATTAATATTGAAATTTTATTAAACAATGTTTGCATTAATAGTGTTCAATCAACAAAGTTTTTAAGGGTTATTATTTCTTGAAATTTATCCTGCTTAAGTCATATTCAATTTATTTCACAAAAAAATTACAAACAATTTAGGCTTAATTTATCGACTGAGATATGTTTCATCAACATATTCTTCTTACATTATATAATGTTATATTGTTTTACCATTTTTTGGTCATTGTATTTTTATTTGGGGTTTCACAGCAAAATCTAATATTTGAATTTTAAATCTGTCAAAATTTTATTATTCGTATTTTGTTTGATTCATTTAATGATCATGTTAGTCATTTGTTTCTTTCATCTACAATTTTGAAATTTTATTTTCCTATATCCCGCACAAACTTTTATATTCGTTCAGTTTTCCATGTTTATCAAATATTATAAATTTATCTTTTTAATATTAATCCTTTTCACATTTCTGTTATATTGTCGAATTGCTTGGTTCAAACTTTTATCTCGGTGGCTCAGCAAGTGAAAACTTCGGGTTTCCCAGTGAGGTTTTTTCTATTTTTAATACTTTGCTGAATTAAATTTTATTTGAAAAATTTGAAAAATTTATTTTAAATGTTCAAGTGAGTATGTCAAAAAAATTCCATAAAACAATACCAGAAAACTTCAAAAACAATATGAAAGCAGATGCTTGGTTGAGAATGATGACAATGCATCATAAGTGAATTTAATTGTATACATGTGCTTGTGCATGATTATACTCATTAAACTAGTAGTTAATCACTTTAATCAGCACCCAAACATAGATTATGAATGACATTTGAAAAGAGCGCCACAAATTAATTGATAAGTTTGTATTTACTGATCAAAATAACTATAGACTTATATAAATTTAAAACCATTTAATCGTGTAAAAATGATAGTTTTAACTACCTTGAGATCCTGGATTTCCTGCCAGCCCTTGAATTCCGGTTGCCCCTGTATCCCCTTGCAAACCAGCCTCACCAGTTGCACCAGTAGCTCCGACAGCACCATTTAATCCAGTTGTGCCTTGTGGTCCTAAATTTCCTTTATCTCCAGGTGAGCCGATTGCACCAGATGAACCTGGAGTTCCAGTAGGCCCTTTATCTCCAGGTAATCCTTGCTGTCCAACGTTTCCTGGCTGGCCAATTGGACCAGAAGGTCCCGTAATACCAGTTCCACCAACTGGTCCAGTTAATCCAGGTAATCCAGGAGCCCCATTGTCTCCAGGTGAACCTTGTTGACCAGCGGGTCCAACCGAGCCTTTAGGTCCTATAGGTCCGGGTGCACCCTGCTGACCTTGTGATCCTGGTTGGCCCGATTGACCAATTGAACCTTGTGCTCCTGGTTGGCCAGATACACCTTGCTGACCTTGAAACCCTTGAAGACCTGGTTGACCCTGAGCCCCAATTGGACCAGGTTGGCCTACCAAAGATTATGAAAATATCCACAATTTTGATATTTTGATTAAGTCAAAAATTAGGCAAATATTAAACATAAGAATTGAGCATATAATAACCAGCCGGTCCCATTGATCCTTGTGATCCAGGTAATCCTTTATCTCCAGGTTGACCTGGAACACCAGCAGCTCCTATATCTCCAGGTAGTCCCGTACTTCCAACTGAGCCAGGTGAACCCTGATCTCCTTGAGCTCCTGGTTGACCAGGTTGACCCGCAGTACCAGGTTGTCCTTTCGGACCTAGTTGACCTTTATTTCCCGGTGCCCCGGTTGAACCAGTATCGCCACGCAAACCTGTGCTACCAGCGGGTCCTGGATTTCCGACAAATCCAGGTTGACCTGGTGATCCTTGTGATCCTGGAGTACCAGGAAACCCTTTAATACCAATTTGACCAGGTTGACCAGAATCACCAGGTAAACCTCGATCACCAGGTGCACCAATATTTCCCGGCTGTCCTGGTGAGCCTGCTTGACCAGGTGGTCCTTGGAAACCCTGCTGACCTATTTATAATAATAAAAAATTGAAATAATTGAACACTAGGTCAAATATCATTATTGACATCATCTTTCTACAGCACACTTCGATATGAAATATATATCACTGGACAGATGTTTGCAGGTTTGCTATATTTGACTTGAGATTTTTGTATTCTTTGTGCTGAAGGCCAAAGTATGTATATAGACACAATATAAATGTAAAAATATAAAATGAACAAAAAATTTATTAACTAAATTTTTATTGTTTATTAAATCATTTCAAAATGCGTAATAAATTAAGTAATTAATGTTAACTTTTTAAACCATTTTCTACGATTCTTTCAACAATCTTTAGCACTATATCTGCCTTACCTATTCTATGTTTAAATACATTTCCTTTATTTTACATAACTTGAACTAAATTTACGTAATTTCTAACACTTTCAGTGCATATGATGTCAGCCAAAACTTATGTACGTTTCCCTTTTCACATTATCTAAAATTTCATGCAATTAATGCTATGGTCAAAAGTTAGTCATAAATAAAATCTTATCCACACAATGACTTCTTATTAATATAAAATATTAATACTTTTTTTAAATTCTTTCAAATAAAATACATTAACATGCATGTTTCATTAATTAGTAAGATGAAAAAACATCTACCTTGTTGTCCAGGATTTCCGGGTAATCCTGGAGCTCCAGGGTCACCTGGTAGCCCAGCTAATCCAGATTGGCCATTAGAACCTGTCTGACCTTTAAGTCCTTGTGCACCAGGCTGGCCTGGTTGACCAATAACGCCAACAGGTCCAGGAAGTCCTGTGTCGCCAACGGGACCTTGACTTCCAGAAGCTCCATCAATTCCTGGAAAGCCTTGCTGACCCGGCTGACCTTGAGCACCAGTAGACCCGGAAAATCCAGTTAATCCAGGTATTCCACTTTGACCTTGTATTCCTTAATGCAGATGAAGAAAGTACCAAATAGTTGATTGACAAAGAGAACTTACAAATCATTCATGAAAATTCAACAAAAATAAATTTGTCCCTAATTAAAATTTTAAATCAACTAAATTACCTGGTTGGCCTTGAGATCCAGGGTTTCCTGTTTGCCCACGATCACCTGTTGGCCCAGTAGAACCAGTTGCTCCTACCGCTCCAATGTTTCCTGGAGAACCTGCTTGACCTGGTTGACCTTGTGATCCAATTGGACCTTTGTTACCTTGAGGGCCAGGTAATCCTGTAGCGCCAACTTGTCCTGGCAAACCCTTAGGTCCTTGCTGGCCAGTAAAACCAACAACACCAATACTTCCTGGAATCCCAGGTAAGCCGGTAGCACCTAAAAGTAACGCCATAAATAAATTATATTTTTGAGACACAATTCTCTAACACTAACTCCATCATTCCAAAAAATGAGGCATGTACAAGTACATGTCATTGTTAAACCTTCTTCACCTTTGTCATTTTAAATCAGAAATTACCTAATGGATTAAACCAATGCCTTTATTTTAACCCTTGAACAAACTTTTAAAAAATCCTTGAAAGTAACTCAAAAAACTGAATTTTCAATCACTACAAATAATTAACATTTTAAAGTATTATGCTGGTTACAATTATTGTTTATCTATTACACTTGCAACAAGAGATCAAATCGATAACGTTGCCAATCGTCAACTGAATTATTCTCATTGACTTTCGGTTCCTTCAATAAAATTTACCACAGTGAGAAAAAATTTTTAATTTTAAAACTATTTATTTAATACTTATTTTTATCACATTTTTGATCTAATCTTTTAATCACATTTTATCAAAAAATCAATGTTATTCAAGTAAAGACAATATTTATAATACACCAAAACGCATGTTTTGCAGGTTCAAACCTTGTTGTCCTGGTGAACCAGACGAGCCGAAGGAGCCAGGTAAACCAGGAAATCCAGTAGCACCTTGAGGCCCAAGGGCTCCTTGATTGCCTATTGGTCCAGTATCACCAGAAGCACCGGGATCTCCTTGTAAGCCAGAAGGACCTTGTAAACCTTGTTGTCCTGGTAAACCAGCAAAACCTACTGCTCCCGGAGGTCCCTGTGGACCCGGCTGACCAGTAGCACCTGGATTGCCCGGAAGTCCTTAAGATCATTTGTAAATGGTAGAATATAATTATGTGTTATTTATACAAGGCAAAACAAACAATATTTGTATAATGTGCAAAACAAAGAAATCAAAAAGTTTGAAACGGGAAGTAACAAAGTCGATATATTAGACAATTAAATAAGATCAAGAACATAAAACAATCATGAACAACCATAAAATACAAAGCACATGTGATTGAGATTGTAGCTAACAAAATATTCTACCTTGACTTCCAGCAATACCCGGTTGTCCTAAAGGTCCTTTTAATCCAGGTAATCCAGTGGGCCCTTTGGCTCCTTGATTTCCAGAAGCACCAGTTTGCCCAGTAAATCCCGTGGCACCATTGCTGCCAGGAATTCCCACGTTTCCAATTGATCCAACGGCCCCAGGATCACCAGTTTGACCTTGTTGGCCTGGACTACCAGCTTGACCAGTGTCACCAATGACCCCAGAATTTCCAGGTTGACCAACACTGCCTGTATTGAGTTAGATATAAATTTTGTTTTGAATAGTTAACTCATTTTCATAAGCTGCGTGTTCTTTAAATTTGCTATATTCGTTAAATACTTTTGATATATTGTTTTATGGGAATATAAATTCATTTAAATTTATGCATCATTTATATAGAAACACGTATGCACAAAAATATAGACTAAATTAATACACTTAATTTTCAACTTTATCAATTTGACAATTTAATGTTTACGTCTGTATGCTAATTTGAGCAAGAACATTCACTACTTAATTAAATTGTGTATTGCAACATTAAAAATTAATAAATGAAAAAAATTTCAATTCAAACGCTATTTTATAATCGTTATCATTATTATTAAAGATACCAGGCAATTTTCTAAAACTCTAAAATAAACAAATAATAGCAGTTTTTCGGTTTTATTTCATCCTCACAAAAATGAACTTTGGCTTACAAAAAAACATTTTTTAAACATTTTTTTTAAAGGAATGGAAAAATGCCAAGAAACGAGTAAAAAAACTAAAAAACATAGTAACACAATTTATAGGGAAGAGAGTAGGAAACAACAAAAGAAATAAAATGAAAAAATTATCAACTTTTGACACCAATTATCAATCTTATCACTGGTAATTAACTTTTCAAAGATTAACCTGTTTTGTACATGATGTAATTTAAAGTTTCTATAATTTTTCGTTTTTCTGCCTAACCAAATTAACCTTGGTTTATGTTTTTTTAATAATTTTCATTCCATTTAATTAATTTTTCAATCTGCTTTATAAAATTTACTTGCCCTCAGGAATAAAGTCGTTAACATACAACATTCATTTCGAAGAGTATTCTAGTCCTTTTTATTTTTCTTCTCATCATTATTGAAATCTTACATAATACCATCTAGAAATTAAAATAATTAATTAATCTGTCCTCAGAAATGTAAAGAATTGAAAAGAAATGAAATGCTAATAGATGAAACCATAACAGGACTGCCGTTTTCGTCAGATATTTGAATTAAGAAATAGATTGAAGTAAATAAATAAGTAAATAGATTAACGTGCAAACAAATTCATAAGCGGCGTTTAGAATCAATAAGATAACTGCAACTATGGTTCAAAGATATCAGCCTAAAAACTTCACTAATGAATATTATGTAAAATAAATTTTTAGTTTTATATAAACATAAACCTGCAAATCCAGGAAATCCAGCAGGCCCAGCATCTCCTTTGAGACCAGGTTGCCCAATAGGACCAGTAAATCCAGGACTTCCAGGCTGACCAGTAAGTCCGGAGGAACCAGTATCTCCTTGCATACCAGGCAAACCAGGCAAACCAGTTGCGCCTCTTGAACCTTGACTTCCAGCATTTCCCTGAGGCCCTTTAGGACCCTGCGGTCCTGGAAAACCCATTAAACCAGAAAAACCGGTATCTCCTTTAGCACCAGTTGGTCCTTGAGGACCGACAAAACCAGAATCTCCGACTGGTCCAGACAAGCCTGGCAATCCAGTATCTCCAACTGGACCAGCAGGTCCTAATGGTCCTGGCTGGCCAGTGAAGCCAACAGATCCAATTGATCCTTTGTCACCAGGTTGACCAATAGGACCTGCCAAACCAACTGATCCTGGTTGTCCAACAGCTCCTGGCTGTCCGGGAAATCCAGGTTGCCCCTTATTGCCTTAAATATAAATATTGAACAATACATAAACACAGATTTCAAATTTAATATTTATTTAATAATCATTAACAATTTTTCAAACTAATCCATGTAACAAAATTATTACCGGGTTGCCCGCTTGGCCCCACTGGTCCTTTATTTCCTACAGGCCCACTTGATCCTGTTACTCCTTGTGGACCAGGTGAACCAATGAATCCAGTAGAACCTAGTTATTATAAGTTTAAATTATAATTATATTCTTTAATAATATTTACAGAAACACGGTTTATATTCTAACAAGAAAAAATAAACCTGTAAATCCAGTAGATCCAGTATAACCTTGTTGACCAGGGCTACCAGAAATACCAGCTGGTCCTGGTAAGCCTTGTAAACCTCTATCTCCTTGAGTCCCTTGATTTCCTGGTGCACCTTGTCTTCCTTGATCACCCTGTAGTCCGGGATCACCTTTCAAACCAACAGGACCAGTAAATCCTGATAAACCAGTAGCACCAACTAAACCACTTAATCCGAGTTGACCTTTAGTTCCTTGTGGTCCAGTGTTTCCAGTAAAACCAGTCTGACCGGTTGATCCAGTATCTCCAGGCAATCCTTGTAATCCACGATCCCCCTGTATTCCTTGTGGGCCTGGCAATCCTGTTTCTCCTTGAATTCCGGTAGACCCAGTGGTTCCAGCCAGACCTGGTTGACCAGATGGTCCTGAAGGTCCAGGAAACCCTGCTGCACCTGGTTGTCCAGAAACACCGGTGGCACCAGTATCACCTTGACTTCCTGGATTGCCCTGTAAACCTTGATCACCAACATTTCCCGGAGAACCTGAATTTCCTCTATCTCCTGGTTGCCCAGATGGACCAGGAAGACCAATAGTTCCTGCAAGCGCATATTATTACACAATCGTAAAGGAAAGTTTTTTCAAAACAAAAGAAATTATATTTATCAGACCTATTAACCCCGGGTTTCCTGGTTGACCTTTGTTACCTGGTTGCCCTGGTACACCAACTTGACCTGTTGGTCCTGTAGAACCGACCTGACCCGGTTGACCTTGTGCACCTGGCGATCCATCATTACCCACGGGTCCAGGTTGTCCAAGAAAACCCTTCGGTCCAGAAGGTCCTGGTGGACCAGTTGCACCTAAGAAGAAAAACAAATAATTCATGTCACATCTCATTAGATCAAAATTAAAAATAATTAAAATTTTCGACACAACCTTGTTGTCCTTGGGTTCCTGGACTTCCAATGTTCCCTGTCGAACCAGTGAATCCTGTTGAACCAGTCAAACCTTTGTCACCTTGCTGACCAGGATTTCCTGCTAATCCAGTTGGACCTCTATCACCAGGTTGTCCAGGAGAGCCTACTGGTCCTTGGAAACCTGGATGTAACAACTCATATAAAAAAGAAAAATAATTTTACACGAAAAAAATGAAACAAATTTAGTCGAGTAAAAATTAAACCTGGCTGCCCTGGTGATCCAAGTGAGCCAGTTGGTCCGGTATCTCCACTTAAACCATTTGACCCTACTGGACCCTGTAATCCAGGATTTCCGGAAAAACCAGTTGGTCCCCTATCTCCTTTGGGTCCAGTTGGACCGGATAAACCAGTGTCACCAGTTTGGCCAGGGTTTCCAGGGTTTCCCCTATCTCCAGGTAGACCATTTGGACCAGCTAAACCTTGTTGACCTGTACGAAAAATAATCTTTCATTAAAATTTTATTATTCACCTGTGATCATTGTGTGAATTCAGTTTTATCTATATAGCTTCATATGTTTAAAACATTGTTGTTAATGTGGTTTTCTTGATTACTTTTTGTTGATATGATTTGTAGTGACAGTGATGTTTGCCAACCACTTTCATAACAGTGGATTATATGTATGAGCTGAGTTGTGATAATTATTTACTATGTTTATACAACACCAATACCTATGATTAAAAAAGTAAAGGTTCGATAGCAATAACAAATTTCGATTCTTAGAAAATCTAATTGTAAAATTTCAGTAGCAAAACATTAATCTAAACATATATCTTCAACTAATAACCTGGAGATCCTGGCTGCCCTTGAGTTCCTGGTAAACCTGAAGGTCCAGGCAAACCATTTAATCCAACAAAGCCTGGCTGACCTGTGTTTCCAACTAAACCTGGAGAACCTGGTTGACCTAATGAGCCCGGAAATCCGGTAGCTCCTTGAGGTCCGGGCTGACCAATTGGTCCAGGTGGACCTACAGGTCCAGTGGCACCGGTTGCGCCGTTTACTTGTAATCCTGGAGCTCCTACAGGGCCAGGAGACCCTTGTGTTCCAGGAAGACCTGGTGATCCGATATCTCCCGCAGATCCGGGTGAACCAGGTGAACCTGGTTGGCCTTGAAATCCTGGTTGTCCAGGCAATCCTTTAATAAAAAAATAAATGAAAAAATAAATGAAAAAAAAAATATTATCAAATATAACTAGCTCAATTTTTGCTAAGCATCCTAGTCTCGAACCAGTGTTCTCGTTATCAATCCAGATTTTATAACGACACGAAATTTCTTGTATTGTTATTCAAACGAGACATATTTCAAAAAGTTTCGTATCTAAATAAAAAACATAAGAGAAATTTTGTCTCGTATCGTTGATATAATGTCTCGAATAGATACAAATGCAAAAATGTATTTAGTTATAAAAAAAAGAACTTCTAATTTATGTGAATTGACTTAGTTTAGTTTCCGTTTATTTTAGTGCAGTACATTTTTTAAAGCAAGTTAGCAAGAAAACAACAGACGATAAATGTGCCACGCGTCGTTGTTAATGCGCAATGTCTTAGTTTGAATGCTATCTCTCAAAACTCAAAGATCATCATACGCCTTGTGCACACGATGCTATGTAGATAGTCTTTTGGTATCTGCTCAAACTCGCTAAAGGAGAATAAAAATGCTTCGCCTATAAAAAGTAACGCTATCGATTTAATGATTTTATATTATTATTCAATCTAAATAAATATATTTCAGATTTTATTTTGATGTTTTTATTTCAAACTCATCTTTAATCTGTTGATAGCCAAATATTATAGTGGTAAACAAGCATCCGTAAAATAAAAAATTTCAGTTGCTTAGTTAACTGGTTCCAATTTTTAAAATTTGAATCGAGATTTCGATATCGTATCGTTATTTCGCGCTATTTTTCGGCGTCTCACATCATCCGGTTTTATTAAAGAAATGTAAAAATAGGTTGTAGTTAATTGACTAATTATAATCAATTGGTCGTCCGCCTATTCATGTTAGAATTACAAAGGATATAATAAATAAATAATATTTTTATTTATTGCATATTTAAGAGATGATCGTTTACAGGATAGGTTAGTAAGTTGTATTATACTTATATAATTATAATTCTAGAGTATGTTGCAATAACAACCTTATGTTTTTTTGGTACTGATGGTAAAACTGCATTAATTCATAGAAAATATCATTCAGATTTTGTTGTTATTGCGCTATGTCCCATATCAAATAGTATCGTCTCATTTCATTAGAGACAAAATAACGATATCGTACCGAATCGTTTAGATGGATATGCTTAATAAAAATGTATCTGGTATAGAGTAGTCAATTGAGTCTTTCATAGAGTAACATGGATGAAAAAGGATTCCGTCTGAATCTCTACTAATTCCTCACGGATAATTCAATCCAGTTTGATGTAAAAAAAGGCGAATAACTACTAAAGCAATTATTACAGATAGTAGAAGAAAATGAAATGAGAAAAATTGGTTTAACGTAGCAGAGTCTACTGCGAATCCACTTCAAATTCATTCAAAAAGTATTTCCAAGAATAATACTTATCATATCGTTTCGAAATAATAACAATTCGCAGATGTTTAATTTTTATAATAATTGTAAATGCTCATCAGTGAATTTGGTATACCGATTTTTTAGCAAACCTTTGTACTTGTAATGGAATAACCTATTACATTATACTAAATATACATAAGATAACAGAGCAATGGGCCAGGATAAAGAAAGAAGAAATGGGAAAATTAGAAGTGAAGGACTTGGGTTCTTAAGTTCTTAAACGTATGTTTAAGCTCTAATATTATGATTAAAAAAATTAAAGAGTTTCACCATAATACATATTTCTTTGAACATAATACAAATACAACAGTCAAAAGGGAAGGAATTATTGGTGTTTTAGAAAAGGAATATGAGAAAGAAAAAAAACGAATAGAAATAAAAGTGTAGCTAATAATATTTTGATGTTTTACTAAATTTACAAATTAAATTTACAATTTTATAACCTGTTGCCCCAGAAGTTCCTCGGTCACCTTGAATTCCTTGAGTTCCAGTAGCCCCTGTAAAACCCTGACCTCCTGGTTGACCATCTGGGCCAGGAGCTCCTTGTAATCCTCTGTCACCTTGCAATCCTGGTTGACCCTGAAAACCAGCATCTCCAGGTTGACCAGTTGCTCCAGTTCCTCCTTGATTTCCTGGCACTCCTGTTCTTCCAGTAGCAACCAACCACCCTTGGCCAAAGTAATGAGATATTTTTAATAACGGGCTAAATCTTAAACTTAAGCAAATAAACCTTACATTTTTTAATGTGCCTTTCTAAACTTTTCAACTTTTTAAATTTAAATTATTAATTTTGTGTAATTCAGTTTATTATTAGCTTATTTATAAACCTTCCAAAAAAAATTTCCTTTTCATCAGTAAGCTTTATTAAACACTGTGCTTTACACTACATGAACTTTTCATTTTAGTGAGCATTTATTAATTTTTTGGATTTATTAGAATAAAGTACCTTGTTGACCAGGATATCCAGGCATTCCATTTGGGCCAGGTAAACCAACAGGACCAGAAGGACCAACAGATCCAGAAAATCCAGGATCACCTACTGCTCCTGGACTACCACTCAGACCCTTATCACCAGGAAGACCTAATAAACCATTTTGTCCTGGACTACCAGGAATACCTTTGCCCCCAGCAGGTCCTTGTAACCCAGCAGGTCCTACTGGTCCTGGTGATCCCATTTGCCCTGGTTGACCAGTAGCTCCTTGTGCCCCTTGCTGACCTGAAAGCCCTGTAGAACCTTGAGGTCCAGGCTGTCCAGGCTGACCTTGAAATCCAGCTATACCTTGTTGTCCAGTTTGTCCGGTTGCACCAGTGGGCCCTTAAAAATCAAATAATTACAAATACTGTGAACATGTGAGAAGATTATCCAAGTTAGCAAATTAAGTTTACTGAGCATATGTACCTAATTTTACTAATTAACTTTACAGTTAACCATTAAAATATTACAATTCCGTATTTGTTTTAATACCCAGTATTCATCTTAAGGAAAATTTAATTTGAATCGTTTAAAGATCCATTTGTCCCAGTTCACTTAATGATTATTGTTCAGTAATAAACATCTCAATTTTTTATATATTTTTAAAAATTAATTGTCATAACCATAGTGTGTATTCATGTTTCCATTTATTAAATTACATCTTTGTGATAAATTTGCTTTTCTTCGAAGTGACAATCTACAGTTGACAATATTCTGTTCATCTCAATCAACTTGTAAACATAGCAGCTATATCCATCAAGTTGCCATGGAATTACCTTAGTCTTTAATCTTAAAAAATATAATAAGAGTCTAGTCAACTTCTTAAGGTCTAGCTGTTTTCAAATATCTGAAAAATTCACTTCTGGGCTTTGAATGTGTTGATATAACATAAATAACTATTTTTGAATTATTTTATAAACGTCATAAGCATCGGCTGACCATCACTGTTGTGAGCAAGCATTGATGTTGCTGCATTTACTTAAACTAAAATCTCTGCATCGGTTTAAGGTTAAAAAAAGGCTACACTTCTTTTGTTAGGATTATCCGGTTTGTGAAAATAGTTAGTTTTGCCTTCCGCAGCTTGCCTTTTAGAACTGTTTGAAAAGCTAGTTTGATAAAGACGCAACTAAGACTGGCGAGAAAACAGTGAGGTAATCACATTACATCCTAAAAAATATTGATGAGGTGTAGACTCGAACCAAGCTCTCTGTGTCATGATATTTTGCGACACCGATTTGCGTTAGAAGCTTTTGAACAGTCTCGTATCACATTCCTTGCTGACAATAAAAAGCGTCGTTGACAAGACGTCCGAAAATACCAGTATTGCAAGAGTGTGAGTTTGCCGGTTCTGCCCACGTTGGTGTCATTCCATGATCGGACTCTGCTCATGAAAAGATTCCGCACGAGAAAAGACTCTCGTGTTATTTTGAAAAATTAAATGCTCTTTCGCTGGAAATTAAATTAAATGTTTAATGTGTCTGTGCGATTTGATGAATTTTCACCTAAATATGACAATTAAACATCATGAAAAAAAACTTTTCAACTAATGGCAAAAATTTAATAAGTGGACATTATGCAAGCAAATATTAAGAACTAATTAAGACAAAAAATACCTTGGAGTCCAGTAAATCCACTAGGCCCTCGATTGCCAGGTGATCCTTGAGCGCCAGCTGGTCCTGGGCTACCAGAAGGTCCAGTTGCTCCCGTTGCCCCTTTACCACCAGCCTGACCCTGGCTACCACGGGCAGGAGCTCCAGGTAATCCGGTAGCACCTGGAAGGCCAGGTGCACCGTTATCCCCTGGAGGACCCTGTTGTCCAGAAGCACCTGTGGGTCCTAGAGGACCTACCAAGCCTGAAGGTCCTGGGCTTCCAGCAAGGCCTGCTAAGCCTGGGGAACCAGTAAAACCCGTAGGGCCTCGCGGGCCTGGCAATCCTGGGTTTCCTTGAGGTCCAATTTCACCAGGAGATCCTGGCAAACCTTGAGCACCTTGAGCACCTTGAAAACCTTGAGGTCCAAGATCGCCTTTTTGTCCTGGCTGACCAGGATTTCCAAAGTTTCCTGGTGTTCCAGGTTGACCCGGGTTACCCAAAGGACCTGGCTGACCTGAGAAGCCAGTAGCTCCGGTAGCTCCGGTTCCTCCTATCGAACCTGGAGAACCAGGTGCACCACTTTGTCCGGTAGGACCTTGCGGACCTCTATCACCAGGGTTCCCTAATGAACCTTGAAGTCCAGGAGATCCTGGAGCTCCTGTGTCTCCTTGAGAACCACTAGGCCCGGGCGAACCAGGAGATCCTTTAAAACATAACAATTAATTGTTACTAGAGTAAAGAATTATCATTATAAAAATTATGATACCTGGAGATCCTTGCATTCCTTGAAAGCCAGGATCTCCGGTTGGACCAGCTGGACCAGGAGATCCAATTGCACCAGAAGGCCCAGGAGGACCTTGTAATCCTTTATTACCTGAATCTCCTTTTGGACCTTGTGGTCCTTGTAAACCGGTCTCACCAGACAGACCAACTGATCCTTGAGGGCCTTGTGGGCCGGGTTGACCTGGCTGCCCAAAAGGACCTGGCTGACCTTCAAATTTTTAAAATAAAAATGTATTGATTGGTATATTTATGTTTGTGAAAATCAAATTCTGACCAGTTGATCCTTGAGGTCCAGAAACACCCTGTGCACCCACTTGACCAATAGGTCCCGGTTGTCCAACTGGTCCTATTGGACCTGGTAGTCCATTTTGACCGCTTGGACCAGCATTGCCTTGCAAACCAGGAAGACCTTGTGCACCCTTGTCACCATTTGGCCCGCTTGGTCCCGGCGGTCCCGTCATTCCAGGAAATCCAGTAGCTCCAGATGGGCCAGAAATCCCAGTATCACCAGTAAACCCTTGAGGTCCCTGTGTACCTTGATCACCAGCTTGTCCTGATGGTCCTGTTGGTCCTTGGGGACCAGGAGGACCAGGTAAACCAACACTCCCTGGTGGTCCTTGGAAACCTTGTGCACCACTCGTTCCTTGTTGTCCTTGCAATCCTTGAAGACCAATAGGACCTGAAGGTCCTAATGAACCTTGAGGTCCTGGTAAACCTGTTCTACCCTGAGGACCTTGATCTCCTTTATCGCCAGATGATCCTGGAGGACCTACGTTGCCTGGACCACCCACAAAGCCGGTATCTCCGGCAGGACCTAATTGACCTGTAAATCCTGTTCCTCCAGTAGCTCCTTGATTACCGGTAGGACCTGGACTGCCAGATGGACCCATTGGTCCTACAGGTCCGGTAGGTCCAGCTTGGCCAGGTGGTCCTTGAGCTCCTTGAGCCCCTAAAAAACCCTTTTCACCTTGATTTCCTGGGGCACCAGGTGATCCTAAAAAAAATTGAGTGTTTGTACTTTTTATCTGATGGATAACTTGTTAAAATATTGACTAACCACTCGGTCCTGGAGGACCTGGTTGAGATCCGGGAAAGCCAATTTGACCTTTTGGTCCTGTTGGACCAGGAAGACCAATTGGCCCAGACGGACCAAGTGGTCCGGCTGGTCCTGGTTGACCAGAGGCGCCAGTAGAACCTGTATATCCTTGACCCCCTTGAGGTCCCTGTAAACCTCTATCTCCAGATAATCCTTGTGGTCCGGGAGGTCCTGAAGAACCTGCAAAACCGGTAAAGCCTGTGCCACCTGTGCCACCAGTAGGACCTGATGGTCCTTGAGGTCCTGACGGACCAGGAAATCCAGTTGCACCAGAAGGACCTAAATTTCCTGGTTGTCCAATAGGACCAATAGGTCCAACCGGTCCAGGTACTCCCTTACTTCCAGGAGAACCTTGAAATCCTGTGTCACCAGAAGGACCTGGATTTCCAGGCTGCCCAGGTGGTCCTTGTTAAAAATATTAAAAAAATTAAAAATAACTTTTTGGCCGAGAGGATTGCAAATAAACATTACCTAACGGCCCTATTGGCCCCTGAGGACCAGGCGTTCCTGGTTGACCTTTATTTCCAGACGGACCCGCGGGTCCAGGAGGACCAGGCTGAAATCCCTGAGGTCCTTGAAGTCCTGGACTACCCGGAGAACCTTGCGTACCTTGCTGGCCTTGTTGACCTTGCGGTCCGGGCTGACCTTGTAAACCTGGAAGCCCATCTATGCCAGATGGACCAATAGGACCCTGAGGGCCAGATTGACCTTGAGGACCTGGAAGACCTTGTAAACCTTGTTGTCCTTGTGGACCAGGACTACCACTAGAACCGCTTTGTCCTTTATCTCCACTAGGACCTGAATTACCGGGGGGCCCTTGAAGTCCTTGAAGACCAGGTTGTCCATTTTGTCCAACTGGTCCTGGTAATCCCAACTGCCCTTGAACACCTGGCACTCCGGATGGTCCAGCTTGACCCTGCGGTCCTTGTTGACCCGTCGGTCCTTTAGGACCAATAGGCCCTGATCCACCTTGGAAACCTGTATCACCTGGAGGACCAATGGGACCAACTGGTCCTGTTGATCCAGTTTGACCATTTGCTCCTAATGGACCAGGTTGTCCTTGAGGTCCTGATGGCCCAGGAAGTCCTGTAATTTAATTATACATTTTAAGATGTTATTTGATAAATAAATACAGTTTTAAAACCATCAAAAATATGTGAAAACAAATAACCAGTGAATCCGACCGGTCCAGAAGGACCAGGTCCACCTTGTTGACCAATTGGTCCAGGTTGTCCAATGTTTCCAATTGGACCAGTTGGACCAGTAAGTCCTTGTGAACCAGTGGCTCCAGTAAAACCCTGTTGTCCATCAGCTCCTTTAGCACCTTGTGAACCTGGTAAGCCTTGAAAGCCTGTAGCACCTTGTAGTCCTGGTTGTCCTGGTAAACCTTGAGGTCCAACAGGACTTAATCCATTTGGCCCTTGAGGACCAGGAGATCCGGTTGGGCCAGGTGGTCCAACTGGTCCAATATCTCCAGGTAATCCAGATGGGCCAACAGGTCCAACAGGTCCTTAAAAAAGTGAACCATGTAACAAATTGAACCTACTAAAAGCGAACAAAAACACATACCAGATGGACCCAACGAGCCACTAGGACCGGAAGACCCAGGCAAACCTATTGGTCCTGATTGACCTTGAAATCCTTTTTCCCCAGGCAACCCTTGAGAACCTGGTGATCCTTGAGGTCCAATAGGTCCAGGCTGTCCTGGAGGTCCTGGCTGATTACCTTGAGGGCCTTGAGGTCCAATAGGTCCTGGAGCACCTGGTGATCCAGAAAGACCTGGTGGACCTTGAGGTCCAGTTGGTCCCACTGGACCATTTGTTCCTGGTTGACCCTGAAGTCCCGAAGGCCCTGTTGGACCTTGAGTTCCAGGTGGTCCTTGAAAGCCAGAATCGCCTTGTGCCCCTAAATGTAGTGTAATAATAAAACATATCCATGGTTTTAATATAAATATATGCTAATTTACTTTTACTCAATAGTTGTTAGCCTAAACATAAAAAATTTCCTGCCTTGTGGTCCACTTAATCCAGGTGCACCTGGTGCACCTTGCAGTCCTTGCATTCCTGGAAAACCTTGAGGCCCCGGTTGTCCATTTGACCCAGGTTGACCACTTGGACCCTGTTGTCCTGGTTGACCAGTTGGCCCCAGAGGTCCCATAGATCCAGGACTACCACTATCCCCTGTCAAACCTGTACCTCCCATAGAACCAGGAGGTCCAGGTTGACCTGAAGGACCAGAAGGACCTGGATTATAACTTTGAGGCCCTCTAGGACCTTTTGGTCCCATAGGACCGGGTGATCCAGGTGAACCGTTTTGACCAGGTGGTCCTTGAGATCCTGGATATCCAGGAGATCCTTGTAGTCCTAAGTTTTTTAAAACATTTAAAATATGCATTAATATATAAAATTGTTTTTATA